GGGTTTAAAACTGGCTAACAGATAGGTCTCAATGTACTTGTAAATGGAGAATCATCACGGAATGGGTGCGGGGATTGGTCCTTGGCTCTATGCTATTTAACACTTTTATCCAGTGTTTTACCTGAAAGAAAACATAAAATCATCAGTGATAAAGTTTGCAGGTGACCCAAAAATTGGGGGAGTGGGAAATAATGAATACTATAGGTTGCTGATCTACATTACTTGGTAAACTGCTTGCAAACACATTGTGTTTTTAAGATGGCTAAATGTAAATGTATGCATCAGGAACAAGGGATGTAAGTCATATTTACAGGATAGGGGACTCTATCCTGGGAAGCGGTGACCTTGAAAAGGAATTGGGGGTCATGGTGACTAATCAGCTGACCAGAAGTTCCTAGTGCAATGCTGTGGCCTAAAGGGCTGCTTGGATGTATATATAGGGGAATCTCAAGTAGGAACAGAGAAGTTAATTTCCTCTGCATTTGGCACTGGTCCAACTGCTGGTGGAATACTGTTCCATTTCAGGTGACCACAGTTCAAGAAGGATGTTGATAAATTGGAGAGGGTTTAGAGACAAGACCATGAGAATGATCAAGGGATTAAAAAACATGCCTGATAGTGATAGACTCCAGGAGCTCAATCTGTTTAGCTTCATAGAGTCATAGGACTGGAAGGGACCTTGAGAGGTCTTCTAGTCCTGCACGAGTCTCCTGCACTCATGGTAGGACTAAGGATTATCTAGACAAGGGGTGGGCAAACTACGGCTTGCAGGCTGCATCCAACCCCTCAGGGCTTTGGATCCGGCCCGCAGGCTTTCCCCCTGTGGTGCCGTGGGCCCCACGCCGCACTCAGAAGCGGCTGGCACCACATCCCTGCGGCCCCGGGGCGGGGGGGCAGAGGGCTCTGTGCATTGCCCTTGCCTCCAGGCACTGCCCCCCGCAGCTTCCATTGGCCGGGAACGGGGAACTGCGGCCAATGCGAGCTTCGGGGGAGGTACCTGGAGGCGCGGCAAGGGCAGCGCACACAGAGACCTCCTCCCCACCTCCCGCAGGGGCTGCAGTGCTTCCTGGAGCGGCGCGGGGCCAGGGACAGGGCAGGCATGCAGGGAGCCTGCCCTGTCCCCGGCCCCGCGCCGCTGCCACCCCCAGAGCTGCTTTAGGTAAGCGGCGCTGGGCCGGAGCCTGAACCCCTCCTGCACCCTACACCTCAACTCCCTGCCATAAGCCCCCTCCTACACCTGTACCCCTCCTGCACCCCAACCCCCTGCTCTGAGCTCCCTGCTGCATCCTGCACCCCGTGCACCCCAACCCCCTGCCCTGAGCCCCTGACTCACCCCTCCTACACCCCAACCCCCTGCCCTGAGCCCCCTCCTGCACTCCGCACCGCTCCTGCAACCCAACCCCTTTCCCTGAGCCCCCTCATACACTCCGCACCCCTCCTCTGCCCCAATCCCTTGCCCTGAGCCCCTTCCTGCCCCCTCCACCCCCCCCCCCACACCCACCCCGCACTCCATCTTGCACCCCAACCCCCTGCCCCGGCCCTGCATACAATTTCCCCACCCAGATGTGGCCCTCGGCCCAAAAAGTTTGCCCACCCTGATCTAGACCATCATGGACAGGTGTTTGTCTAACTAACCTGATCTTAAAAATCTCCAATGATGGAAATTCTACAACCTCCCTAGGCCATTTATGCTAGTGCTTAACCACCCTGACAGGAAGTTTTTCCTAGGGCTGATCTACACTGGGGGGGGGGGGGATCGATCTAAGATACGCAACTTCAGCTACAAGAATAGCGTAGCTGAAGTCGACGTATCTTAGATCGACTTACCTCCCATCCTCATGGTGCGGGATCAATGGCCGCGGCTCCCCCGTCGACTCTGCTTCCACCTCTCACCCTGGTGGAGTTCCAGAGTCGACGGGGAGCGCGTTCGGGGATTGATTGCTACCCACCGATCCGGCGTACCCCTAGTGTCCAGCCTAAACCACCCTTGCTGCAATTTAAGCCCATTGCTTCTTGTCCTATCCTCAGAGGTTAAGGAGAATAATTTTCTCCCTTCTCCATCTAAACCTTTTATGTACTTGAAAACTATTATCCTGCCCCCTCTGTCTTTTTTTTTTCTCCAGACTAAACAAATCCTTTTTTTTTCAATCTTCCGTCATAGTCACATTTTTCTAGACCTTTAATCATTTTTTTTGCTCTTTCCTGGACTTACTCCAATTTGTCCACTTTTTTCCTGATACTCCAGTTGAAGCCTAATCAGCATGGAGTAGAGTGGAAGAATTACTCCTCAAGTCTTCCTTACAACACTCCTGCTAATACATCCCAGAATGATGTTCACTTTTTATTTTTTTGCAACTGTTACGCTTTTCACTCATATTTAGCTAGTGATTCACTGACCCCCAGATCCCTTTCTGCAGTACTCCTTTCTAGACAGTTGTTTCCCATTTTGTATGTATGCAACTGATTGTTCCTTCCTAATTGGTGTACTTTGCATTTGTTCTGAAAATTATTCCTATTTCCTTCAGACCATTTCTCCAGTTTGCCAGATCATTTTGAATGTTAATCCTATCCTCCAAAGCACTTGCAACCCCTCCCAGCTTGGTATCATCCGCAAATGTTATAAGTGTACTCTCTATGCCATAATCTAAATCATTGATTAAGATATTGAGCAGAACCAGACCCAGAACTGATCCCTGGAATCTCTCCCATCTTCCATGACTTTTTGAAGATAATCGCTAATGACTTATATCTCTTTAGTCAGCTCCTTGAGTATTTCATCAGGCGCTGGTGACTTGAAGACATTTAACTTGTTCTTTCCCTGTTTTACCTTCTGATCCTACCTTATTTTCACTGGCATTCACTATGTTTGATGTCCAATCACGACTAACTTTTTTGGGGAAAACTGAAACAAAAAAGTCATTCAACACTTCTGTCATTTCCACACTTTCTGAGTCAAGATAGGATGCTTTTATAAAATATACGCTCTAGGAATTATTTTGGGGAAGTTATATGGTCTCTAGAAGGAGGTCAGACTAGATCACAATGATTCCTTCCAGGCTTGAAATCCATTAATCATTTTGATTAATAGTTAAGTGTATAGTCTCATTCACCTAAACTGGTGTATAGGTTATCCTTGTTAAAATGTGGCTAAAGGTGTTTTGTTAGCTTATTTTTGCTTTTCATTGGAATTAAAACACTGAAAACTTCAAAAAGTCCTACCCTGGAGGGCTGTTAATTTCCTGAGTTAAGTTGAGGCTATTGGGGCTGGCGGACAAGAGGGAAGATCTTTGATCATAATGAGGCAGAGTTAGGCCATGAATTCTGTTTATAAGTCCAAGCTAGTCCACCTCTCCCCTGCCAGAACCATCCTCTCCTCCGAACTGGCCCTGCTGCTGTGAGATACTTCCCCTTTCCAGTGGGTCCCATCCCCTCCCTCATACCAGGAAACAATGGGAGGGTTGGGAATTTCAAAAAAAGCAGCGAAGACTGAAGTGTGGAGATGTCTCTTCTCCTCCACTATGTGATGGTATTAGCAGCTCCATGTGTTGGAAGGAAAGGGATGGTCTGGCATCTTTGCGGCTGTGGTGGAAGGGTACAGGGAAAGTACAAAAATGCAGGTTTGATTAGTGATCAGCTTCTTTTGCTTATTTCTAAATCCAGGCAACATGGGAGAAGAAGTAGTGAAGTGATACAGTAAAAGGGATGTGGTTAAATGAGACATTGAGGTAAAACAGCTTCAAAGAGAGAAATCAAAGCAATGAAGGACAATAAAATGATGGGAAAAACAGGAAAGGGTTAAAAGTAGACCTAGGGAGGGAGGTCTCCCTCCTCCTCTTAAATTTTAATAGTATCCAAAATATGCAAATGAATGTTACTTTGCATATTATGGTCATACTTATGGTGTCAGGAATTCTGTCACCTCCCCACTTTCTAGAACCTCCAAAAAGCCAGAGTTCTACCATGTCAGCATTTCACTGTTCACAGCTGTTTTCAACTTACACAAGTCACAAATAAACCACAGGTGAATATTAAAAGAAGAGTCCAAAATGAACTGGAACACAGGGCTTGAGGCAAAAGCTTTCGCTTGACTTCAAAAATGCTGTTTAAACTGGATTGTTGGCATAATTCAGGGAAAGTTGCTTGGAATATGCTAACATGACAATGTCTTATGATTTCTATAAGTGATATCCATTCTAAGCAGTTGAATGTCAATGAATTTAATTTGGGCACAGAAGGCATAAGAGTTTTGACAGGTAGCATTTGGGAGTGGCATAGGAATGCTTCCACGAAGTTTTGGCTGATATGGATACTTGGGAGGAGTGGCAGCAGATGTTGGGGAGTAATTTTAGCTGCATGAAAGGAAGATGGCATTTAAGAGCAGGAATCTTTGGAGAATTGTTGGGGAGTTTTGGCTTAGAAGCTTGAAGTTCCTGTTTGTGCCAGATGCCTCATTAATAAAAAAACAGGGAATCCTGCTGCACTCAAAGTGGGGAAGAGGACAACATGTCCGCACCTAAAAGTAAAACCTGGAGGAAGGTCCAACTTGTTAGATTCAGAAACACAATGTAATTGGCTAGGACAAGGTCATGTGATCCTGGTAAGATAACTGGCATCTGTTCAAGAATTGAAAATTAAATAAACTTATTTTTGGTAAGTGGTTAGTATGTTAAATAGTATGCCAAATAATTTTTAGTATTTTTGGTCTCATGATTCTGTCTCAGCTAGTTGCATTCCATTTCTCAAAGCAGTCTTGTTCTTCAATATTTTCATAGTGCGGACCACATCTCAACAGTGTCTCTCTGACCACATTCCCTTTCATTTGCAATCCCACAAATCACTTCCATTCCTGTTCCTTTTCCTCCTTGTGATCATATAACATGTCTGAGGCAATTGCTTACATGTAAAAGTAATGTTAAAGTATTTAATATCTTTTAATGTAGCTTAGCAGCTGGAATGAGACTTTTTAATGTCAATAAATTCACTGAATGTTCATTTTACAGGCCAAGCTCGGATAACAGGCGACAAGGGAGCAGGGAGAGGATGTCCAGCACCAGTGAAAAGGGCAGTCTGTCCATGGAATCCACCAAGGAAACCCGCTACTGTGCTGTGTGCAATGACTATGCTTCAGGCTACCATTATGGAGTCTGGTCTTGCGAGGGCTGTAAGGCCTTCTTCAAAAGAAGCATTCAAGGTAATAACTTGTGGAAGTGTAGTATAGTAAGTTCCTTATTCCTAGGGAATTGTGTATTTGTGAAGGTACGGAGGCTATAAATTGATTCCTGGAGAACAAAACAGTATCTTTCACAAGCTGACAATCACCATGCTCACCCACATGCATTTATGTCCCTGTTTGTTAAATTATATATATCAATTAATAACATTGTAATTAGTTTAGTCCAAGATTTAAAAAAACCAAACACTTCTCCTTTCTATCTTTGGGTTTGTGTATGTCTCATCATGGCACTGGTGAAGAATCTAATTTCAAAATAAAACTCTATGCCGAATCCTATTCAACGCTGCTGGGTTGTTCTCTTCCCTCCGCCCGCCTTCCTTTTGCACATATACTGTGCAAAGCTCTTTATGTAAATACTCCTTTATGTAAATTATCCTTATCTGAAACAGCCTTTTCTTGTGAATTCCCTGTCAGAGTGCAGCTTAATTTTTGCTCATTGATTTATTATAAATTCAGTGCTAGATTAGCAAGATAGTTCAGTTCAAGGCACAACTTAAGGACATCACTTCTTTGAATGCAAACACAATAAAAGAGGTTTCCTTTTCAAAATATATTGTGTCCTGCAAGCAGTTGGAATGGGGGTGAGGTGGGAAGAGTCACCTTCATGTTGTCTCTTTCTTTCATGGCTTGCTGTGTCTTGCCACTTGGTATCACACAGGGAGGTACAGCACACTGTCACAAAAAACAGTGACCCAAAAACTGCACTAAGCAACAGAGGGTCCTGTGGCACTGTCCATGTAAAACCCCGTGGGACAGAGTACACCTGGCAGAAGTAGAACTGAAATCTAGTAGTTAAAGCTACTGAATGGTACCCAGGAATATCTTGCATGTACAGTGTCTGTTGGGCAACTGATTCTGTTGTCTTGGGCAAATCATTTGACTGCCTGGTATTTCATTCAGTTCAGCTCCAAATTTAGGTAAGAAGCAGTTAAAACTTACAAAAAACCATACTTGGCCTCTGAGTTTTACTCCAGTAGGGAACAAATTGAAACAACTTTGTTTCTTTCTGAATACAAACTAATCAAGCATGAAATTTGGGTGACCACTATACATTACCTCTAGTTCATATATCAGCACAGAAGGCTCTTGTAGCTTTTTTCACAATTTGAACTAAACATAGAATATTTCTACCTCCTGTCACAAGAATGTGATTATTGCCTCTTTTTGCATAGCTACCACTTAGATGAGGGAAATGTTGTTATAAAAAAAAAAATTAATGGAGATATCCTGTCTCCTAGAACTGGAAGGGACCTTGAAAGGTCATCGAGTCCAGCCCCCTGCCTTCACTAGCAGGACCAAGTACTGATTTTGCCCCAGATCCCTAGGTGGCCCCCTCAAGGATTGAACTCACAACCCTAGGTTTAGCAGGCCAATGCTCAAACCACTGAGCTATCTCTCCCTCAAGCTAGTCCTCTCCCTGAGCATTCAGCTAAAGCTTCTCATGTTTCTGCAGGAAAAGTGTTTTTGTAACTTTTCAGTGAAAGGTTGGCTCCAGGGGAGACATTGGTGGATTTTAGTGGTAGTGGTTGGTTACTAATCATTTGTATTTCTGCTTTCCTAGGCTCATCTAAGTTATCTTAGCCATGGCTTTGTTATTTTTACTCAATTATAAGGGGGACTGGAGGGAGGCAGAGTGAAATGCAGTTCTCTTGATAAATTCAATGAATCAATATAAGTTTATGTAAAGAACAGATCTCCTAATTAAGTGTTAATCAGTTGAGTCCTTAGTTACAGGTGACATGGCAGATGGGGATGGAAAGGATCTTAGATGAAATATCATATGTTTCTATTACTGCAGTTTGTATTGTCTTCATAACAGAGTATGGAGAGGCATCTGTGAAAGAATTCATTTGTAGAGTTGGTCAGGAATTTTCCAAAAAAAGGGTTTTTTGTATAAACTGAAACTGTTCACGAAATAATGTTGGGGTCAACAAAATACCAGACTTGTAATATTTTCAGTTAAAGTAACATATTTTGAGACTATCAAATTTTAATATTGTCAATCCAGAAAGTTTTCGGTTTTTTGAGTTGAAAAAACTTTTCATTTCAAAATTTTAGAAAATTTACCCTGAAAGAAGGAAAAAAAGTTTGAGATTGAAATGAAACACTTCAAAATTATCTGAACATTTTGATTAACCTAAAACGAATGTTCTGGATTTTTAGTTCATGAAAACTTTGGGGTTTTTTGACTTTTGCCTGATTCAGTATGGGATTTTTTTCCCCAAAATCCCAAATTCTCATGGGATGGAAACAGTTTTCCTCCTAGCTCTATTCATTTATACTTTATCAGGGTCACTGCTCTTCCAATGAATAGGCCTTCTCTATGGACATTTATGGATCTAAGATGTAAATGAAGCGATTTAAAGGATGCTAACCTATCTCATTTCATTGCCACTTCTAAAGAGAGGTGGGTAAAATAGAAAAGACCCTCCTCATTTGTCTTGTACCATGCAGCCAGTACTTGAACTCAAGTGACAGAGCACTCATTTGGAAAGTTTGCAGACCTGAATTTTCAGAAACTACTTCATTATTGAAAAATTTAGAAGAGCTACAAGAATGATTTGAAGTCTGGAAAATATGCTTTGTAATGAGAGACTTTAAGAAGCTCCATCTATGTAGTTTATCCAAGAGAAGGTTAAGAAGTAACTTGATCATGATCTACAAATACCTACATAGGGAAGACATTTCTAATAGTAGATGGCTTCTTAATCTGGCAGAAAAAATACATGAGATCCAATGGTTGAAAGCTGAAGCTAGACAAATACGGATTAGATGTAAAGTGCACATTTTTAACAGCAAAAATAAATAACTATTGCAACACCTAAGGACATGGTGGATTCTCCATCACTGAAGCCTTTAAATCAAGCCTGGGTATTTTTCTAGATGAAATACTATTGTTCAAACAGAAGTAAGAAGCTTGATGCAGAAATTGTTAGGTGAGGTTCTTTGACCTGTGTTATGCAGGAAGTCACTTCTGGCCTTTAATATTTTTTAATAGTCTTCAATTAAGACAGAGATATGGTATAAGTCTCATGAGTAGAATATTGGTATAAAGGATCACAGCTTGTTCAGGAAGGACAAGCTAGATAAAATGGGAGAAGGTGTTGCATTATACATCAAGAATATATAGACTTGTTCTGAGGTCCAGAAGGTGGTGAGCGGCAGACCAGTTGAAAATCTCTGAGGTTAGGTCTACACTATGGGCGGGGGTCGACCTAAGATACGCAACTTCAGCTACGTGAATAGCGTAGCTGAAGTTGCGTATTTTAGGTCAACTTACCTGGCTGTGAGGACGGCGGCGAGTCGACCGCTGCCGCGCCGCCGTTGACTCCGCTTCCGCCTCTTGCCGCGGTTGATTTCCGGAGTCGATGGCAGAGCCATCGGGGATCGATTTTATCGCATCTTCACTGGACGCGATAAGTCGATCCCCAATAGATCGATTGCTACCCGCTGATCCGGCGGGTAGTGAAGACGTGCCCTCAGTAAAGATAAAAGGGGTAAAAAAATAGGAGTCATGTCATGGTAGAGGACTACTAAATCAGAAAGATGATGAGGCATTTCTTGAACAAACAGAAATATCCCAAATATAAGACCTGGTAGTAATGGGAAATTTATCTACCCAGATATATTTAAAATTATGGCAAAACACGATTTCCAAGAACTTATTGGAATGTACTGGGGACAACTTTTTGTTTCATAAAGTGGAGGAAGTAACCAGGAAGAAGGGAAGAAGAAGAATCCGGGGAACTACAGGCCAGTCAGCCTAACCTCAGTCCCTGGAAAAATCATGGAGCAAGTCCTCAAGGAATCAATTCTGAAGCATTTAGAGAAGAGGAAAGTGATCAGGAACAGTCAGCATGGATTCACCAAGGGCAAGTCATGCCTGACTAACCCAATTGCCTTCTATGACGAGATAACTGGCTCTGTGGATGAGGGGAAAGCAGTGGACATGTTATTCCTTGACTTTAGCAAAGCTTTTGATAAAGTCTCCCATAGTATTCTTGCCAGCAAGTTAAAGAAGTATGGGCTGGATGAATGGACTATAAGGTGGATAGAAAGCTGGCTAGATCATCGGGCTCAATGGGTAGTGATCAATGGCTCCATGTCTAATTGGCAGCTGATATCAAGCGGAGTGCCCCAAGGGTTGGTCCTGGGGCCGGTTTTGTTCAATATCTTCATTAATGATCTGGAGGATGGCGTGGATTGCACCTTCAGCAAGTTTGCAGATGACACTAACCTGGGAGGAGTGGTAGATACACTGGAGGGTAGGGATAGGATACAGAGGGACCTAGATAAATTAGAGGATTGGGCCAAAAGAAATCTGACGAGGTTCAACAAGGACAAGTGCAGAGTCCTGCACTTAGGACAGAAGAATCCCATGCACTGCTACAGACTAGGGACCGAACAGTTAGGCAGCAGTTCTGCAGAAAAGGACCTAGGGGTTACAGTGGATGAGAAGCTGGATATAAGTCAACAGTGTGCCCTTGTTGCCAAGAAGGCTAACGGCATTTTGGGCTGTATAAGTAGGAGCATTGCCAGCAGATCAAGGGACGTGATCATTCCTCTCTATTCGGCATTGGTGAGGCCTCATCTGGAGTACTGTGTCCAGTTTTGGGCCCCACACTACAAGAAGGATGTGGAAAAATTGGAAAGAGTCCAGCGGAGGGCAACAGAAATTATTAGGGGGCTGGAGCACATGCCTTATGAGGAGAGGCTGAGGGAACTGGGATTGTTTAGTCTGCAGAAGAGAAGAATGAGGGGGGATTTGATAGCTGCTTTCAACTACCCAAAAGGGGGTTCCAACGAGGATGGCTCTAGACTGTTCTCAGTGGTAGCAGATGACAGAACAAGGAGTAATGGTCTCAAGTTGCAGTGGGGGAGGTTTAGGTTGGATAGTAGGAAAAACATTTTCACTAGGAGGGTGATGAAGCACTGGAATGGGTTACCTAGGGAGGTGG